ACTTATTTGAGAAAAGTTTTAGTAGGTAGTTGAACAATTTAAGGGGGAAGATTAATTAATCATATAACAATAATAACATCACTAATGGTATAATTCATATATATTTAAATACCAGTATCTTCTCCAACCCCCCATAAAAAACAATTCAACAACTTGTTGCCAAAACAGAATCATAGTATCAAAAATATTTCAATCCAGAAATTTTGTTTATTTTGAGAACCTTATATTTTGTTGCATTTGAAACAATAACCATGATTTTGCTGGACCAGTTTGTGGCATCTGCAGAGATACAACATATTGGCTTAGGAAAATTAATTTGCCACTATATGGCCAAGTATATTTGATTGTAATTGATAAGAACAAAAGCATTATCTAATTTCTTAAGTATTTAGAATATTTTCATGTTAAAAATAATTTTGGAAAAGGATTTAGCGTTAAAAAATACATAAGATGTGACCAAAAAACTTGTTTTAAGTCAATTTTTGACTGTAGGGCATAGTTTTAAATATACTACCCTTATTTTCTCAATTTTACCCAGATGTCAGTTACCACAACTGTGCTTAGCAGGGCAGTACAATTTTGGATATTGTTGATAGCAAGGGTACTGGTCTTTAATTACCAATGTCTGTAGCATAATTTTATTTTGGAATAGGAATAAGTCAAGCAACTTTTAAATGGTCTGAAAAGATGCCACTTTTTAATGAGGAGTATTTTAATGTAAACAAATTTTACTAAGCTAATTTCTTTACACATTTTATGACTTTAATCAGAATACCGTCATGGCTGGATAATAGTTTATTTTGAAAGGAATCTATAACTTTGTATTTATTAGTGTTTTAAATGGAAAATCTCTTGAATATCGATACAGGTTAAGCCAGTTACAGAGCTGGTTAATGATGGATATCTCCGAACATCTGTTGGGTACAGAGGGGCGCATTAACAGACTGGTTCTCCACAATATTGATAACTTAAAATACGGACTAAACAAATTACTAATTTCAAGAGGATCTGTAGCTATTTTGTTTCAATTTAATATTTTATCCTTTGAATAAACTATATTCTGCAAAGTTTCTGAGTTGATAATCATTATTTAGAACATCAAACCCATCATTCACAATCATGACCGCTTCGCTTACATGAGTGAATGCAGGGTAATGATGGGCCATTGCTTTCCCAGTGGTCGCGGATAACAGCTCTGCTGCTTTTCTGACGTTTTGCCTCTCAGAACCAACAACGAGGACGTGTTTCATGGTTAGCTTATATGCACACTTCAAATCAATCTTTTCACCACTTTCCTTTTCGATTAATTTAACAAATGACTCTTTTGTCATAAGCTCGCCACTTTTGAGGATGTAACCATCATCGAATAAATGATTTCGGAATATTTTTAGTGCGTGAGGAACATCACAGAATGCCCAAATATTCCTAGTTTCATCCACTGGATTGTTAATCGACGGATCCGTCCATATTATGCTCAACTGAGACATAAGTTTCCTGTTGGTTGATCCCATGTCACAAACAAGCCCCTTACCTTAAATCCACAACTTTTAACTGAACTAAGTTTCAAATAGGAGTTCTTTCGTAACTGCCGTTTAACACTAAAGGCCCAATTTGATGAAGTGTCAAACCACGTCAAACCCAAATTACATGCATTTGATATAGGAAAATTAGGTTTTTTTGTTAATTACGAAAAAAACTAAAAGAGATACGAAGTAAGTGTAAATTACAAAGTTGTTAGGAATTAAAAACCTATAAAATGACGTGCCACTTGACATATGTTGCTATTTGAAATTAAAAAAAAAATGAGCATTTGCAAATTTTCAAAAATAATTTTTTTTGGAATTTTTATAATTTCAACAAACCGTTACTTGTAGCATATCAAAGTAAAGCTAATTTCATAACGAGTAAGAAAATTCAACCGGAGAAGGGATAAATGCATTGGTATAGGAAACAGAGAGTATTAAAAAAATATAGATTTTTTCCAAAAAAAAACTGCCGCCATTTTGAAACGGAAAAAGATAACTTATTTCTGTTTTCGCCAAAATGTTTGTCTATCAAATACCTTTAAAATGATGTATAACATGACATATGTTTACATTTGAAAATTCCGAGATTCGAACTAGTGACCCTCAGTTTTTGGCACACCCTGTGTTGGGAAAAAGTTAAAAATATTTTTACGTTATTCCTTGGGGTCGATTTAGCGGGAAATAATTGTATTTCATCCTTGTACGTTAAGCCGTTTTTCCGTAATCAATTTGAGACACCTCTCGTGAGACACCCTGTATATAAATATATAAACATAGGAATTTTATTTCTTTGACACGCATTGTTAACAATATCTTACTCGAGTGTACATTGAGTAATCTGAAGTTAACTCTAAACAGTAACAATATGAAATGTTTGAGAGAGTTATACACTCTTATCTCATATTGTGTTAGATATGTGATGTATGCTGCCACTCTGCATCCGGTGCATTTGGCATCACATAAACAATAGCGTTGATTTATCGGAGCTCCGTTCGTCTACACTGTTAATTGTTGACTATTTAGACACGTTGCTTTCTATCCTTAACATTATTTTTTAGACTGTTACAGATTGTTATAGATTTTGTCATAGTATAGTGTTCCGTAGAAGTAGTTAGAACGTTCTTCTCGACACACACGCATTATTAATTAGTTTGTTTTTATTAGTTAGAACAACTACCAACAGCTTAAGTTGAACAGTCCTTAGGGAGTACAAGTCAGCTGTTCTAAACTTCGATTATAAGCAATCGTATGCATCGAAATCATGTATCGACTGATTACATTGGTTGTAGCATAAACTAACCGTATGTTTTATCTATGGTTGTAGTTTATTGATGCATTTTTTTTAAAATAGTTCGACATATCGATAGTAAAACATGCACTAAGACAATGGTAATGGATTAAACAATCAAAACTCTTACTAAACAGCTGCTTGTTTGCATTAGCAAAATCAAAAACAAGTTGGAAGTTGTTTTGAGAGGTTGTCTGTCCTTGAAAAATATTTTCGTTTCTTCGTCACTCAGTTCGTTAAATTTAATAACGTTGCAATATGACAGAAAATATAGTTTATCACACGGGCAGAAAGTGTCGTTTCAATCCTCGCTCATTTTCCAACCTCGGCTTCGCCTCCATCGTCAAACTTGAGATTGAGTCGAAAAGGCCACTTTGTGCCCTAATGAAGAAAAATACTATAACAATGAAAAAATAAAATTAAGAGACAAAGAAAAAAACAAAGAGAGTAAGTTATTGGAGAAAACGGTTTTTGTCAAAAGGAAGCTTTTAGCGTAAGTTCTTGAATGAAATCCTGTTTTAATTACGACTAACACAAGAATGTGTGCTGACTTCGACCTCGCTCTTTCTCTCTAAATAACATTTTTTATTGTTTTTTTTTCAAACATTTACTGTAAATAAACTATTGATTAAAATTATTTATTCTAGGTGATATAGGAACTTCCGAGGTTTGTGAGACTACTTGATGGTCCCGCAAATACTGTATACACTTACACAAAACACACGAACAAATACATAACGCGCGCACACATACGGCCGATAAAATGCAACCTCAGGGTTTAGGGTTAGTGTTTCGAACTCTCTTTAATTACCAATTTCCTTGCTAATCTTTTAATTTGAAACTTTTTTTAATGATAATAAAGTTAGCCTTTGATTTTTTTTTACTAAATAATTTTATATCGAATTTGGATAAGATTGTTTTAAAACAAAAGTCTTTACTTTTGATTTTAGGCTGTATAAATTTTAACAGCTATGAGGCTACTCGATCCACCTCAAAAGTAGGCTAATGTTCTCAAACTGTCCATCACCTAAATAGGATAGTCTGTAATAATAAGATGGAGATTACCAAGTTTCTTCCAAGTTTCCCCATTTCTTCTTGTTTAAACTATTTAAAATAATTAGACTATTTTGGTTTAGCTTTTCACTTTTTACTAGAAAATATTATAATATAAAAATCATACATACAAACTAGTTTTTAAACTCTCACCCAGGCTAGTTCATGGTAGAAGAAGGAGGAAATCCAGTTGTTACCTCACATGTTTTTCAGCAACAATGTATTCAGGTCTTCTAGATCTTGAAGTTCACTGTTAATTCTTAGTCACTCAGGCCATTAATAGTATATGCAATTTAATTTGGGTAAATTACTTTTTGAGATTTTGTTTAGATATATATAGAATTATTTTTACTTTAGCTTGTGTTTGAAATAGATTGTAAACATAATATATTTAAAATAGGCTGTTAGGCTTAATTGACTGGTAATAGGCTATTTATATATTATTTAATTATACAAAATTTTATGAACTGTTGCAAAATAAAACATCAAACTCGACGAGCGGACCCGTTTTGATCATGCGGAAGGTGCGTCTAGTCTAGACTCAACAATTGGATTGCCAGAATAAGGTATTTAAACCACTATCATTAGTTATTATTCGCAATCCGGAGACTACTCATACCTCAATGAAACAAAATATTTATCATATACATATTACTCAAGAACTCATCAACAAATTTAGTTTATGATACAGAATTTTATTTAATGCAGTTTAATAGGGTGACTAATGTTTCCGCTAATTACATTATTTTACTTATTATTTTTAAAAGTGGTATTTGTTTCTAAAAAGATAAGAAATCGAAACTTTGCATAAACATTTATGACGACTAGGAATTGCTATCACAAAATTATGACAAATTTTCAAATTCACAAAACAGAATGGCAGCCATTTAAAATGTTTGTAAAATCAACTGTTGTTATTGTCAATGAGTTATTTAAGAAACAAAACTTTAAATAGCAGCCATTTTGTTTAACATTTTTGAAGCATTGTCATAATTTTTGTTAGCTTTGCATAGTTGTCATTAATAATTGTGCAAAGTTTCAACTTCGTATCTTTAACCACTTAAACAAAAATAATAACAATAAGTAAAAAAGTGTTTTTAAATTTGTTGGTACAAAACTGTTCATCTACTTACAGATTGGAATTTGAAAGCGATAAGAGGTCGGACGAGGTCAAACCAGTTGGTTATCTTCTTGCCCACGAGATCAGGTAATATCACCATGAGAGAATTGCCGATACTTCGGACCACCATATCAGACCTGTCCATAAAAACATTGGTTCATACAACAAACTCTTTCCAAAACCATAACTCACAAGGTTAAAAACCATGAGATCACTAAAACTTTCAGAATTCATCATATTATTAAAGTGGTACAGTCAAATTTGTGGTCATCGATTAAGGTCATTAACCAAATCAATATAGGCATGTTTCGCATCAAAAGGAAGAGTGTGTAGATTTGCCTACAACCATTGGTATAAGCTAATTCCCTAACAGCTCTGCCCCAAAGGCCGATATCTTAGGGATTTCCTTACAGGCTTTCAAAGTTTACATTAATTAATTGAGAAAACCTGGCCTTATAGAATGATTAGTAAGAGGATTATGTTTTGTGAACGGAAGGTAGTAAAAGGTTCTGTAGAATCTTTCTAATAGTTTTTCCTATAGTCACCCCATACAGTTGGTTTCCTTGCACTGTTTATAGTACAGAAAGCTGCTAATTGCTGCACTTACTTACTTTGTCGTACGGTTTACACTTTGGCGCACATCAGGATTCCAACCATACAACACAAAACAGCGTGGTTTTATTATGCACGTAATCCGTGTACGCTTGGAAATAGGTTGGCAACACTTAAAGATAATAATATTAACATCAGCTGACTGACTAAACTTGTGTTTATAGTTTTTGTCCTATTTTCGTTCAACGCTTGGTTTGAACATAACCTATTTCATCCTATTTGAAAGAATAATTAAGTGGAAAGTGGTAATGACATGAATGAACGAAGTGAAAGTGATAACGAATATATTTTTGGCACACCAGAAGAAATAGCAGAAACTGCTAAACACGTAAGTTTAAATCTGTTACCAGACAAATCCAAACAAAAGTATGAACGAGCCTATGAACTGTTTTCATCATGGTGCGTCAGTATAAAAGTACCGGTAAAAAAAGTGTCAGAAAATGTGTTATTGGCATTTCATTTCAGTTTTAATTAATTATTGTTAATTTGCTTGTTGTTGGTTTGAGAGTGTTAAAACTGCTTGGCAAAAATTACCTCCTATTTTAGTTCAACGCTTGGTTTGAACATAACCTATTTCATCCTATTTGAAAGAATAATTAAGTGGAAAGTGGTAATGACATGAATGAACGAAGTGAAAGTGATAACGAATATATTTTTGGCACACCAGAAGAAATAGCAGAAACAAATCCAAACAAAAGTATGAACGAGCCTATGAACTGTTTTCATCATGGTGCGTCAGTATAAAAGTACCGGTAACAAAAGTGTCAGAAAATGTGTTATTGACATTTCATTTCAGTTTTAATTAATTATTGTTAATTTGCTTGTTGTTGGTTTGAGAGTGTTAAAACTGCTTGGCAAAAATTACCTCTTTACATACTTGTTTATTCTGTTTATACTGAATATTCCCGTTTATACGACGTGTACTCAACACTTACTTAATGATACAACGACTACAATCAGCTGGTGCAATGTTTCCTAATCCGTTCAACGCTTGGGTTTAACCTAACCTAAAAACGTGTTGTATATAGTTTGAAAGGCTAATTATTTATATGCTTAATAGTGACTATAGGAAATATATAATGTGTAACACGAGCGCAAATGATATTGCTGCACACGAGAGAAATTTTTACGCGCGAGCCGCACTTTGCTCACTAGTTACAAAAATAACTATTCTGTGAATTGTATATAACGAGCTACAGGTATATAGGATTTAGTTAAAAAGTTTGAGAGAAAGATTATGTTCTTATGAAACATCAGTAGTAGACCTAATTGATTATATTGCTACACTAGGATCTGTTGACCTTAAACATAACAACAAGCTTAAACGTAATTATACCTTCAATTTTAGGTAGATTGATCTTTTCAAATTATATCATAATTAGAGTAACAATATTTTTAAACAGGCAAGGCCTACAACAAACTAGGATGCCAAGGAAATTTTAACTACTCGCCTGAAAGAAAAAAACGTTGCCATACCAAATAAGTAATACAATTAATTTTCTTTTTATAAAATGAACTATGGATTTTTAAACCAAAGTGAAACTATTTAAGAAAACCTCGTCCTCTTTCCGTTGCAAAGCACGGGTAGAGCTCAGCTTGTAATAAAAATCTAGGCTAGAAAAATGGTTATTTCATACTTCTACACGATAAACTCACCCAAAAACAATACAGAAAGGGAAGATCTCAAAGAGAACGGAGGCGCTGATTGGAAGATGTCTCTCTTCTCTTGTGAGTGTGAGAGAAGCCAAGGTGAACGCTCTATTGTCGAAGGTGAGTTGGAAGGTGACGTGAACAGTGTCAAACAAGACTTCCTCTCTAACTAGCTCTATCCTCATTTCCTACAAAAACATCATACATATTTAAAGCTCCATGTAAGAGAACATGTTATATCGTTCGTAGTTTGGCTAAGAAGCCAGGTGGATAGTTACAAGAAAACTTTTTTCGCCATCTTCATTTCCTGTAACATATACAAATGCAAAGTGCATTATTGAGGAATGTGTAAAAGCTAAAATAACAGGAAATAAACCTAAAACTGGTCGACGTAGATCAGTTGTAACAGAGGACATGGCATTGGATGTGCTTTTGAGTGTTCAAGAATATCCTCACACATCAACTCGTCAGCTCAGTATTAATCTAGGAATGAGTCATACTTCGGTACATAAAGCTCTGAAAGCTGAAAATTTGCATCCTTATAAAAAACAGCTAATTCATGAATTGAACGAGGATGATTTTGATCGTTGAATTCAATTTTGTGAAGAAATTATGCAGCGGTGTATCCAAGATCCGTTATTTAAAACGAAGATAGTATTTTCCGATGAAGCCTCCTTCGGCCTCAATAGTCACTTTTACAGACAAAACTCAAGATACTGGTCCGATGAAAATCCACATTGGGCTCAAGAATGTCCTACATAAAGACCTCAGAAATAATAGTCCAGTAAATAGAGACAAAAATAGGGGGGTTAACTTACAAACGGTCCGGTAAGTCAAAATTTTTTACATGTTGTCTAGGATGGTAAGTAGGTGTTAAAACCGCAAAATGCACAATTCTACACCCTCCGCGACCACCGCCATATTGAAAAAACGAAAAATTTTCTACTTTCTAGAGATTTTCGCCTATATCTCCGTTTTGGTGCGTTTTAGCGAAAAATATGTAATTGCAATATTGTAGACAATTAAATTTACTATAAAATAAGTATAACAATTTGGTTCTAAGACTTATGGATACGAAAATTTTTAAATTTTTGTACAATAAAAAGTCATTTTTTTGTTATTTTTACAAATCTCTATTACTCCAAGCAAACTAAAAAAACTGACACAGGGAACGTTAAAAAATTGCAAGAAAACGTTTTATGGTTTTATTTTGTAGTGATGGGTCTGCAGAGTGACATACTAAAAGTTGCCAAAAATCGGTCTACAGAAAACCTCCTAAAATCACGATAAAAAATGGCGGCTTTTCTCAACATTGGACAAATTTGAAAAAAATATACCACATGCATATTTTATTCAAAATTTTGTGAGATTTTACTTGGGACGACCACCGAAGTTTATTGGGTGGTTAGTACTTCATTTACATGGGGAACTCATTTTTGGCCGCCATCTTGGATCCGCCATATTGGATATAAATAAAGAAAATTAAATGCAATGATGACGTTGTGACACATCATTATAAACCAGATTTTCACGCTGATTTCAATGCCGAAATCCGTTTTTAAATATCTGTTTATGTTTTAAAGATATAATCAAACAAAAACTCTCCCCCATACATTTCTTATGGACGTTTCGTACTTGGAATGTTTTTAAATACCATTTTTGTTATATCTCCAGGTCTCATCAACTATTGCAGTTCAGTCTAGCCTTTAAATATTCTGTGATGTAAGCGCTTTCATTTGGCCTATTAATCGTTCAAATCGAACGAGTTAGCAACGAGCTACAAACCTAAGACAATATGAAATTTAACTTTTTTTTAATCTTTGTTATTGTTTTGGGGATTGTAGCTCTTCGCTAACTCGTTTGATTTCAATGATTAATAGGTGAAAGCGCTTACATCACAGAATATTTAAAGGCTATACTGAACTGCAAGCGTTGATAAGAACTGGAGATATAACAAAAATGGTATTTAAAAACATTCCAAGTACGAAACGTCCATAAGAAATGTATGGGGGAGAGTTTTCGTTTGAACATATCTTCAAAACGTAAATATATTTAAAAAAAAAAAAACGGATTTCGGCATTGAAATCAGCGTGAAAATCTGGTTTATAATGATGTGTCACAACGTCATCATTGCATTTAATTTTCTTTATTTATATCCAATATGGCGGATCCAAGATGGCGGCCAAAATGAGTTCCCCATGTAAATTAAGTACTAACCACCCAATAAACTTCGGTGGTCGTCCCAAGTCAAAATCTCACAAAATTTTGAATAAAATATGCATGTGGTATATTTTTTTCAAATTTGTCCAATGTTGAGAAAAACCGCCATTTTTTATCGTGATTTTAGGGGGTTTCCTGTAGACCGATTTTTGGCAACTTTTAGTATATCACTCTGCAGACCCAACACTACAAAATAAAACCATAAAACGTTTTCTTGCAATTTTTTTAACGTTCCCTGTGTCAGTTTTTTTAGTTTGCTTGGACTAATAGAGATTTGTCAAAATAACAAAAAATTTATGTTTTATTGTATAAAAGTTTAACTATTTTCGTAACCATAAGTCTTAGAACCAAATTGTTATACTTATATTATAGGAAATTTAATTGTCTACAACATTTGCATTACATATATTTCGCTAAAACGCACCAAAACGGAGATATAGGCGAAAATCTCTAGAAAGTACAGATTTTATCGATTTTTCAATATGGCGGTGGGCGCGGAGGGGGTAGAATTGTGCATTTTGCGGTTTTAACACCTACTTACCATCCTAGACAACATATAAAAAATTTAGACTTACCGGACCGTTTGTAAGTTAACATACCTCTATTTACTGGACTATAATGTTTGGGCAGGAATATTTGGGTTTAAGATAGTTGGACCTTTTATAATTGAAGGTAATTTAAATGGCGATCGTTATTTGGATCTGCTGCGTGAATCTGTTGTACCCGCTATTTCTAGAGAGTTTCCTCCTGAAGATGAAGAACATTCCGTGCATGAAAGTATTTGGTTTCAGCAAGATGGCGCCCCAACCTACTTCGCTGTAAATGTAAGGGACTATTTGGACCTAACTTTTCCTGATAAGTGGATAGGTAGAAGAGGTCCTATCGAATGGCCCGAGAGATCTCCTGATTTGTCCCCTTTGGATTATTTTTTATGGGGATACCTAAAGAGTAAAGTGTATGTAAACCGACCAGAAAGCTTACAAGAGCTTTCAGTGAGGGTTCTGACGGAAGCGCGGTAGATTGATCAACAAACGATTGGCAGAGTGTTAAATGAATTTTACAATAGTTTAGGAATTTGTCTTGGCCATAAGTTCGAGCATTTATAAACTATCAAGGTAATATCAAACATTACTTAGTAATAACTATACTATTTTTGTGTTTTAGAGTATTAAGTTTGTATTTTGTGTTATTATTTATGGCTACAAAGTACTTGTTACCTTTTTAAATTGTGCTTCAAACGTAGACGTTCGTGACCACCATATGTTTAGTAATCTTAAATCATTGTTATTAGCGTGACACGGGCTATAAAATGAGGGGACACTCATTAAGAGTAGCTTTCTCAGCAATTTAAATTTTTTAATTGGAATGGGTGCTTTTTCACTCAATATTTTTTTTAAAATACCTGCCATTTTCGCTAGGGTCGACACAATGACTTCAGGCGTGCACCATTGATGATGTCTTGACAAACCCTTTAAAATGATGGGTCACTTAATAGGGTTTGTTTTTTAAAACAATAAGTCACCCCCACCCCCCTACCCTGTTTAGGGGGTTAAAAAATATGGTTGATGTAAAAAGTAGCGGAATCTTGGTGAAATTAGTGCTTTTTCACATGGTAAATCAAATTTTGGAATACCTACCATTTTGCCTAGGGGTAAGATATCCATCTCAGATTTGCGTCATTGTGTTTCTTTTGACAACCCCTTCAAAATGAGGGGTCACTCAATAGGGGTTGCTTTTAGAAAAATATAAGTCACCCCCTACCCCCTAGTTAGTTTAGGGGGGTAAACAAATATTTTTGATGTAAAAAGTTGCGGAATCTTTGTTAACAATTATTGCCACAAACAGAATATTTCTATCTATTTTTTTTTTTAATACAGATTTGTTTCGATACTTAATTTACACACTGTATACTTTTCTTGTAGAAAATTTAATCTTCTTCAATTTCATAATTTAGTATAGTGTACAAAAAGTTGATAGTTTTCGAGATATAATCGAAAAACCCAGAATGCGTACCTTTAACCCCCCCCCCTACCCCCCTTTCGCTCCTCCACCGCCTGGCTCACCACCTAGGAGTCAGGACTTTTGGTATGTTTGTAAAGGAGGGTAGCCTAGGCAAGCTAGGTTTATGACCTGTGGTCAGGCCTTGCTTGCTGTAAAGCGTGCTGGAGGTGTTTTGTAAACACTGAGGGCTTTGCACTCAGTAGCTATCGGATCAATAAATAGGCCACCTGAGGTAGAGAAAGGGTTAGTTTTTTGATTCGGTTATTTTTGATTTGGTTATTGGTTATTTTAGATTTTTTGATAGATTAGTTTTTTGAGGGATTATATATTCTTTAGGGTTCTAGCTGCCTCCAGAACGGTTCCTACCAGACATTTATTAGTAAGCTATTTGGATGTGAATAAACTTTCTTTTTCTGTGACCAATATTTAGTCCATAACTTTCTTCTCACTTTCTTTTAACTACAGTTTACAGCTAACAAGAAACCAACAACAGCCAGAGCGTCATCATCTGCTTATGTCATGTTGCACGAACAAACTGGGGCACCTAAATCCTCGCCTGCCTTCGGATATTCTGAAGAGTGACCCCCCTATTTCTGGGTTAGTCTGCAGGCCGGAAGCCTGCAGATATACCGGAGCCTGTGGGGCCTGCTTAATGTCAAACGCGATCGGGTAAAATTGACTCATGATGCGTATCCTAATCGTTTCCAGAGTGTGTCTTCAAGTTCAACCACAGATCTACCTACCAATAAATGACCCACAAGAAAATGGGTTTACAGCTTTGAATAAGGAAAGCGTATATATTTGTCAAGTTATGTCAACTGAAGATGATAAACCTAAAATTGAATCTTGTGTAGTTATAGATAATGACTTGAGAATAAGATCGTTCAAAAACGGGATTTGTATTAATGACAGCCAATCACTAAAAGATATAATGGGGAATATCCACAAATTGTCCAAACTACTTAGT